ATTTACCCTAGTAACCAGTAAAGAACCAATGCCATGGTTAGAAGAATAAACCAGATATAATTCATGTTAAGAGAAGGCATACTCATGAGATGCGCAAGAAACTAAGCTAACTTATCATTTTTTTGTGAAATTAAGATATATTGATCGCCTTTACTGCGAGATATAGTTTACGAGCTAACGATATAAAAACGTGCGTTAAATTCGCAGGTTCGTCCTTAACAAAGCATCAAAACAATTATCGTCGCGCGATATAGCATCAAATAATTAACCGAATAATCAATTTATTTACTACAACATGCCACTCAATTCATCCGACATTTTTTTGCTCGTTATTTTCATCACTGTAATCGTGATCTATGATTTATTTAATCGGGATATCTTGAATATGGAGATACTCCACACAATTATCCCCGGAAACGCAATAATATATATAATTCTCGTTGTAGCATTCATATATCTACGCAAAAATATAATGTCGCCTCAAATCCATCTATAAAAAAAAACTCATTGTATAGAATTTCATTCCGAAAATTGGCCCATATGTATAAATTATGATAACAATAATAATGATTAGGGCTCGAGATGCTTCCTCCTTTAAACGTCTCTACTCCACGAATCTTTTACATTGAAATTCAACGTAAAAAATATCACCATCTACTATTAATAATTTCACATTATACAGGAGGAAGTCACAAAATCGTTACACAGGTGATGAAAATTTTTTTTATATTACAGTCAAACCTTTCTATAATCACACACTTGGGATACGAAAATGTGTGATTATAGAGAAGTGTGACAGTTATAGAGGACAAATTTATTATATTCAATAATAGTTCATTTTTTTAAAAATATGCTTATAAAGAAAATGTGCTTATATAGGAGGTGACTATAGAGAGGTCTGACTGTATTAATTAGCTAATTGTTAGTTTTTTGCACTACAGTGTTTATATAAAGTTGTTGACAATATATTTTTTTTTTTTGACTAACAAACTCTCTCCTGAGCTTTTACTTAACCAGACTTTTAATAACCATGTTAATAAATTTTTCTTTTCTAAAAGTACTTCTTGTCCTTTGATCATTATACAACTTTGTTTATCATTTTTTGTTTTTGAGTTATATACTAGCAGTTTGGATTTTGTGCTATTGATGCTTATGTTATTTGCTTTATAAAATCTGTAGGCTATCTGCAAAGTTTGTTTCATCTGCTCTCTACTTGTTGCTACCCATATTGTATCATCTGCAAATGCAATTATTGCTTGGCTTATTACCTTTTTGCTTTACTTATTTGTTTTCAAATTAATTAACTTGCTTGTATCTATTTTGTACTCAATGCTACTGTCTTCTTATACTCTTCTTAAAAGAGGGTTGTAGAAAATTCTCCAAACTAGAGGTGAGTGTTTTTCTTTGCTCTATACCATCACCTACTATAAATATCTCTGTTGTGCCATATTTAATAATAACTTTAATCTGTCTCTTGTTAAAAAGCTCAATTATAAAGTCTGTTATTTGTTTTGAAAGCTTGATTCTGTTTAGTGAAAGTCTTAAGAATTTAATCGTGACTGAATCATAAACCTTTATCATATCTTGTAACAGTAGCTATAATTCTTTACTATTTTCTCTCATATTCTCTATTATTGCTTCTGTTGCATAAATTGTATCTTTAGTTGAACTTTAGAGAGTCCTGCAAAGTTTGGCTCTTTGAGTATATTTCTTCTAACTATTATACTTGCTAAACAATTGTTTAGTAAATATATTACATATTTTTTAAATATTTTAAGTAGTATAATAGGTCATATATTGCTTAGCTGATAGCTTTAGCTCTTGCTTTTTGGGATTGGGTATACTTGAACTAACTTCTACTTAATTGATATTGTGTTACACTTTATACAAGAGTTTGCAAAGCTTCTAAAGATTTTCTGTATTGTTAAACTTGCTTTTTTGATTAGAGCATATCTGATTATTGATACCCCAGATGCTGTTTTGAGTTTAGTTTCACTTATAGTTGCTATCTCTTTATCTAATGATTTATTTTCACTGAGCTCTACATACCACTTGTCTTGATTTTTCTCAAGTAGACTATAAAATTCTTGTATGATCGCTTTGTTACGGCATACTTCTCTCTCTTTAAATTGATTTCTAAAGTATTTTCTAGTTTTCTTGAGTATCTTATCTGGCTTAGCATGCAGCTTGCTTGAGTTTTCAGACTGCTCATATATATAATCAATTTGAATTTTTCTTGATAATCTTTCTAGTATACTTGAAAGCATTCAACCTATATCACTATCTACTTTCATATCTTTTAGTAATAGCTTTACTAATTTCTAACTCTCTTGTTTTCTTTAATTTTTTCTTAAATACATATTACTACTTAACATCGTTTTGCTTCTTGTACCCAGTTTTCTAAACTGCTTTTGCTAGTTTCAAGCACTCATAGTATTTTATAGTTTTCTTCCTTGTTTACTTTTTTAATTTCTTTATCTATTTCTTTAGTATTTATATAGCTATTTACCTCTTGTATCTTCTTCTTAATAACTTTAATTCAGTCAGGAATTTTTTAAAGTTGTGTAATGCAAATTATTTTATTTTTTGGTAAAAATCTACAATTTTGTAATATATATTTTGGCTAAATTATTGACTGCATTGTTATGCTTTTGTTATTTAGAGCAAAATTGCCTTATAAAGCCTTAGAGATTTCTAAGGATTCCTAAACTATATAGCCTTAGGATACTTTTTGTAAAAAAAAATTTAAAAGATTTTTTAAAACTGATGGTTATTTTTAGATAATAAAAAATGCTTTTGTTTTTTCAATTGAAATTGGGTTTTAGAATACCCTTCTAATATATTTGCAGATCATTCCTATATTACATATAATCCTAGACTATAATTAGTTTGCTTAACCAAACTATCTTTCAGTGAAGCTTTATTGTTTTGGGCTTGTATCTTATGTTGCCACCTTTTTTTGTTATTCTCTTTTTTGATATACTTCTATTTGCTATATACTTGATCTTATTAGATATTGTATTCTATACTTTGTCAATATCATATCAAAGCTACTTTGTCTTAGTATTGCTAGTTTCTTGTTTTTGCTCAAATGCTGTTTTAAATTTTTATAGTAGAACTCTCAATTTTCTTTAGTTGCTTTGTTATACTCAAAAATGGTTCTTGTTATTCCTTTTCTTCATGCTTTTGCTAAACTATAGTTTTTAACTAAGTGTTTTAAAGCAATTGATGCTACTATAATCTTATGATTACTTGCTATTATAAGTTTAGCTTAATTTTTATTTGATTGACTTCAACACTTAGGTTCTTTAATACTCATATCTGATCTATGCATATTTTAGTTTTATTGTTCAACCACATAAAGCTTCTTTGAAATAGGTTAATCTGTCTAAAAGTATTTATAAATTCTTGACTTTAGAACTATTTGTAAAGTAGGAGTACTTTGTTTTTGCCATTACTATATTGATTTTCTTTGTTTAATATACTATCTACTATGTGATTAAAATCCTTATAACAACAAAATGTGATTTTGCTAACTGTGTGATATATTTTTCAATTATTAATTGCTAGAGCTTTTTTTTTTTTATATCATTAGATAGCATATATACTACTATTACTATTAGCTCTACTTGTTTAAAGTAGAAGTAAGCTTCGATCAGATATTCTTCATATCTAATTATTTTGCCTAAATGTTTTTCCTATTTCATCTCAACTAGTATACCAACTTCTGAATTTTTTTTTTTTCAATTTTTATCTATAACCAAAAGCCTTTATAATTGTTCTTGTTCATGCTAAATCTAAAATCTCTTTCTCTTGTATTTGTTTCTACCAATCCTAGAATTTCTATTTCTTCATTGATAGCCTATCCAACTATTGTCTTTAACTTTAGTTTGTTGCTTTTTAGCCCATTAATGTTATGATATATAATTCTTAGGTCTAACTCCTGCTTGCATAAAAGAGTGTTCATGTTTTCTCTTACATTTTTTCTTTCTTTTAATGTATTCTCCTTTTCAAAATTATTTGTAAACACTACTCGCTCTTTAGAAATGTCTATAGCATTTTTTAGAATCGATTGGGAGCTGTACTTCTACTATTGCTTTTTTTTATTTTGTCTAGCCTATTTAGAATCTTCTTTAATAGACACCTCTAACTACCATTTTATAGAAGCCTTCTTGCTATACCTGACTGGGTTTCTTTCCCATAAATTGGCTTAGCTGCACTGTAGAATATAGTTAAACCTTTTTTTTTGGCTATATTTCTTTTTGCTACTACTATGTTATCTGCTTTATTGTTCTCTTTATTTAAGTAATAATTTGCTACTTGCTTCAATCTTTTTTCTTTTGGGCCAGATTTTGATTTCTTTATTCTTGCTACAATATTTGTCTCTTCTACTCATTTCAATCTTGTATTATAGTAGTATACTCTTGTTTAAAGTGCTGTTAGGTAGTCTTCTTTTAATGCAAAGTAGATACTTGCTAGGCCTTTTTGATTTTCATTTCTATTAGCAAAGATATATACTGCTTTTGCTTAGATATTTCTTAACTATCTTAATATTGCTGTCTTAATAGCTAACAATAGTAGATTTTTAATTACTGTCTTGTAATGACTTCTCTCTTTCAAGATTTCTGTATCAAATTTGCCTTGGCTTAGCCTTTACATTTTTTTTTTCAGATGAACTGCCTATATACTTTGTAGCATTTCTTTTTATTTTGTATCTTTTGATCTAATATTTACATATGCTATCTTGGCTTTGCCTTGAGGCTTAAATTGTTCTACTATTGCTTTGCTATAAAAACTTAGATATTTTCTAATCTGAGATACTCTTATTTGTATTAGCAAGTCCCAGATCATAATGTTTAATGTTTCATATTCTTTTGTCTTTCTACTATTTGCAATTATTGCTTGTCTATCTGTGGCCCATATTGATATATATATATTGATCATTAGATTTACTAGTGTTTTCTCTGTTGCTATGACCTGGGCTTGGCTTATCTTAGGTATTATATATTCTTTACTATACTTGCCATCATCATATATACTAGTAGTACTATATGACCTGGTTTAGAAGTTTCTGCTATATTTATACAGATCTTCTCTTCATTGCTTTTCTGCAAAATTTTTTCTTTGGCAAATAGGAGATTATGAACCTTTTTGTCTTTAAGTTTTTCTGTACTATAATTATTTTGGCTACTTCCTTGTCTTATTAAGCACACTATGTTGCTTCTTTTCTCTGCTTTTTTTGTATTAGAACTTAATATCCACTTACTTTTATCTTCTGCTTGCAGAAATTCTGTATAATCATATAACTCTATAATACTTCTATACAAATATATTGTTTCTGGTTTTGCTTTTATTATTTCTGCTATTTTTCTGTCTTTTCTGAGTACTATTTTTCTATACTTTTTCTAATTGAAAACTGCTCATCTGGTGATTTCTTAAAGATCTTTTAATATCTATCAAGCTTTATACTATTGCTTAGTTTTAACACCTCTGGCTAGTTGCTACTTGTTATTGTATTTAATATTTTGTTTTATTTCTTACTATAGCACCGTATAAACTTGTTTGTTTACTGTTTGTTTTGACTACCAAGTTATATTGTAGTTGTTTGCTTGTTAATCTTTCTTGTTTATTAGATATACTTCTTTGTTTACTTATTGTTTACTTGACTCTTTTTATTTACTTGTTTAGTTTTTTATTAGTATTTTGGGCTTATTGTTTACATAGCTTTATATATATCATGTGCCTATTGTTTATGTAGCTTTTTGTATAACTTGATAACAAAGTCAAATACAATCTGCTATTTTTTGCAAGTTTTAATAAAGAGGCTTTGTGTTTTAGTTAAGTTTGTAGTCTTTTTCTAGACTTGTATTTTTTTTTTTTAGATAGGCTTGACTCACTAACTAGTATCTTGTACTCAAGTTTGGTCTTTTTCTAGCTTTGTTGCTTGAGTAACAAAACTTTTATAATTGTAAAGTGTAGTCTTTAGAGCTTTAGTTTGTCATGTCTTCTAGTTTGATTTTGATTTTGAATTTTGAACAGTGTTGTTTTTTTAGCTTGGAAGCCTTGAGTTGTATCTACTTATTTATTCTCTTTCTCATATAGTAGTATTAGTCACAGCAATCTTGCTATAGTGTTTTAACTGGGCAAATTCTGCTATTTTTGTTTTCTCTGTATGTAGTCATGGTGATTAGCAAAAGGAGTTTAATTAACTTTATTTTATTTTAATTTTTTATTTATTTTAATTTGTTTTAGAAAATCTAAAGATGAAAAAGCAGCTTTATTATTGCTAATTTAGTTGTTTCAAGAATAATAAAAATAGCTATAATTATTTTTAAAATATTTTGTTTCAATATCCACTGCTTTTCATTATATGAGGTTATAATTAAATTTTGTCAACTAAGGTATATAACTTTGAATTCATTAATGCTAGTAGTATTAAGTATTTATATAAGCTAAATTATTAAAGCTTTATAAAAAATTGTAGCGCAAAATAATATTGCAATATATAAAAAAGTTTGAATATAAAACTACATAAACTTGCATTTAGATCTATACAAGATATTGCATAAAAAATATATTTGTAGCATATAAAAAAATACAAATTCTGTACAATAATACACATACTAATATGCAATTTATATGTTTTTTCATATATTGTCTTGTATATATTTACATACAGGTAATATATAATAATATATTTATATTCTGTATATGGATTTGTATATATTATTCCATATGCAAACAAGTATTATTCCTTAAATTATAATACAAGCAAATTTGCTTGTATTATAATTTAAGGAATAATACTTGTTTGCATATGGAATAATATATACAAATCCATATACAGAATATAAATATATTATTATATATTACCTGTATGTAAATATATACAAGACAATATATGAAAAAACATATAAATTGCATATTAGTATGTGTATTATTGTACAGAATTTGTATTTTTTTATATGCTACAAATATATTTTTTATGCAATATCTTGTATAGATCTAAATGCAAGTTTATGTAGTTTTATATTCAAACTTTTTTATATATTGCAATATTATTTTGCGCTACAATTTTTTATAAAGCTTTAATAATTTAGCTTATATAAATACTTAATACTACTAGCATTAATGAATTCAAAGTTATATACCTTAGTTGACAAAATTTAATTATAACCTCATATAATGAAAAGCAGTGGATATTGAAACAAAATATTTTAAAAATAATTATAGCTATTTTTATTATTCTTGAAACAACTAAATTAGCAATAATAAAGCTGCTTTTTCATCTTTAGATTTTCTAAAACAAATTAAAATAAATAAAAAATTAAAATAAAATAAAGTTAATTAAACTCCTTTTGCTAATCACCATGACTACATACAGAGAAAACAAAAATAGCAGAATTTGCCCAGTTAAAACACTATAGCAAGATTGCTGTGACTAATACTACTATATGAGAAAGAGAATAAATAAGTAGATACAACTCAAGGCTTCCAAGCTAAAAAAACAACACTGTTCAAAATTCAAAATCAAAATCAAACTAGAAGACATGACAAACTAAAGCTCTAAAGACTACACTTTACAATTATAAAAGTTTTGTTACTCAAGCAACAAAGCTAGAAAAAGACCAAACTTGAGTACAAGATACTAGTTAGTGAGTCAAGCCTATCTAAAAAAAAAAAATACAAGTCTAGAAAAAGACTACAAACTTAACTAAAACACAAAGCCTCTTTATTAAAACTTGCAAAAAATAGCAGATTGTATTTGACTTTGTTATCAAGTTATACAAAAAGCTACATAAACAATAGGCACATGATATATATAAAGCTATGTAAACAATAAGCCCAAAATACTAATAAAAAACTAAACAAGTAAATAAAAAGAGTCAAGTAAACAATAAGTAAACAAAGAAGTATATCTAATAAACAAGAAAGATTAACAAGCAAACAACTACAATATAACTTGGTAGTCAAAACAAACAGTAAACAAACAAGTTTATACGGTGCTATAGTAAGAAATAAAACAAAATATTAAATACAATAACAAGTAGCAACTAGCCAGAGGTGTTAAAACTAAGCAATAGTATAAAGCTTGATAGATATTAAAAGATCTTTAAGAAATCACCAGATGAGCAGTTTTCAATTAGAAAAAGTATAGAAAAATAGTACTCAGAAAAGACAGAAAAATAGCAGAAATAATAAAAGCAAAACCAGAAACAATATATTTGTATAGAAGTATTATAGAGTTATATGATTATACAGAATTTCTGCAAGCAGAAGATAAAAGTAAGTGGATATTAAGTTCTAATACAAAAAAAGCAGAGAAAAGAAGCAACATAGTGTGCTTAATAAGACAAGGAAGTAGCCAAAATAATTATAGTACAGAAAAACTTAAAGACAAAAAGGTTCATAATCTCCTATTTGCCAAAGAAAAAATTTTGCAGAAAAGCAATGAAGAGAAGATCTGTATAAATATAGCAGAAACTTCTAAACCAGGTCATATAGTACTACTAGTATATATGATGATGGCAAGTATAGTAAAGAATATATAATACCTAAGATAAGCCAAGCCCAGGTCATAGCAACAGAGAAAACACTAGTAAATCTAATGATCAATATATATATATCAATATGGGCCACAGATAGACAAGCAATAATTGCAAATAGTAGAAAGACAAAAGAATATGAAACATTAAACATTATGATCTGGGACTTGCTAATACAAATAAGAGTATCTCAGATTAGAAAATATCTAAGTTTTTATAGCAAAGCAATAGTAGAACAATTTAAGCCTCAAGGCAAAGCCAAGATAGCATATGTAAATATTAGATCAAAAGATACAAAATAAAAAGAAATGCTACAAAGTATATAGGCAGTTCATCTGAAAAAAAAAATGTAAAGGCTAAGCCAAGGCAAATTTGATACAGAAATCTTGAAAGAGAGAAGTCATTACAAGACAGTAATTAAAAATCTACTATTGTTAGCTATTAAGACAGCAATATTAAGATAGTTAAGAAATATCTAAGCAAAAGCAGTATATATCTTTGCTAATAGAAATGAAAATCAAAAAGGCCTAGCAAGTATCTACTTTGCATTAAAAGAAGACTACCTAACAGCACTTTAAACAAGAGTATACTACTATAATACAAGATTGAAATGAGTAGAAGAGACAAATATTGTAGCAAGAATAAAGAAATCAAAATCTGGCCCAAAAGAAAAAAGATTGAAGCAAGTAGCAAATTATTACTTAAATAAAGAGAACAATAAAGCAGATAACATAGTAGTAGCAAAAAGAAATATAGCCAAAAAAAAAGGTTTAACTATATTCTACAGTGCAGCTAAGCCAATTTATGGGAAAGAAACCCAGTCAGGTATAGCAAGAAGGCTTCTATAAAATGGTAGTTAGAGGTGTCTATTAAAGAAGATTCTAAATAGGCTAGACAAAATAAAAAAAAGCAATAGTAGAAGTACAGCTCCCAATCGATTCTAAAAAATGCTATAGACATTTCTAAAGAGCGAGTAGTGTTTACAAATAATTTTGAAAAGGAGAATACATTAAAAGAAAGAAAAAATGTAAGAGAAAACATGAACACTCTTTTATGCAAGCAGGAGTTAGACCTAAGAATTATATATCATAACATTAATGGGCTAAAAAGCAACAAACTAAAGTTAAAGACAATAGTTGGATAGGCTATCAATGAAGAAATAGAAATTCTAGGATTGGTAGAAACAAATACAAGAGAAAGAGATTTTAGATTTAGCATGAACAAGAACAATTATAAAGGCTTTTGGTTATAGATAAAAATTGAAAAAAAAAAAATTCAGAAGTTGGTATACTAGTTGAGATGAAATAGGAAAAACATTTAGGCAAAATAATTAGATATGAAGAATATCTGATCGAAGCTTACTTCTACTTTAAACAAGTAGAGCTAATAGTAATAGTAGTATATATGCTATCTAATGATATAAAAAAAAAAAAGCTCTAGCAATTAATAATTGAAAAATATATCACACAGTTAGCAAAATCACATTTTGTTGTTATAAGGATTTTAATCACATAGTAGATAGTATATTAAACAAAGAAAATCAATATAGTAATGGCAAAAACAAAGTACTCCTACTTTACAAATAGTTCTAAAGTCAAGAATTTATAAATACTTTTAGACAGATTAACCTATTTCAAAGAAGCTTTATGTGGTTGAACAATAAAACTAAAATATGCATAGATCAGATATGAGTATTAAAGAACCTAAGTGTTGAAGTCAATCAAATAAAAATTAAGCTAAACTTATAATAGCAAGTAATCATAAGATTATAGTAGCATCAATTGCTTTAAAACACTTAGTTAAAAACTATAGTTTAGCAAAAGCATGAAGAAAAGGAATAACAAGAACCATTTTTGAGTATAACAAAGCAACTAAAGA